AGCTTAAGGTTGAGAGACAGCCGACGCTACAACCGAGCCACGGCTGCCAATATGTTCTTTATATATTGTGAAATAAAACGTAAGAGTGATATGGGTAGAGTGCGATAAGTAGAATGTGTCAATAGTAATAGTCTATGAAACACAACCGTGGTTTTAAACAATCCATTATCACAAAGAAATGTTCATTGGTGTGTATGAAGATGAAAATTTTAAAGATTGGAGTTAAAAATGAAATGGTCATTGAAGGTAAACTATGCTGCTCTCTGATTTGACATTATATTCTGGAGATGGTTAATGAGCAAAGATTAACTTACAAAGATATGCTGACCTTGAGCTATTGACCTTGTCATTTTATCTATTACGCTCGAATAGTGACTTAAACATTATTTTAAAAACTCAAATCAAAGAAAAGTTAATCCATTTGTAGGTCCCGCCGTGCACTCGCAGTCTGTCTTGCCATGGAAACCACATCATCTGAACAGTTAAGAGGAAATAAAAGAAGCAGTATTGTACTCTTTGCCTAAAGGAACACATTTACGGGAAATCTTAAGCAGCACTCTCCTGCTCAAACGATATAATGAAATGTTTCAAAAAGAGTTCTATTTTCTAGCAGCAGCAGTTCTCATTCAGATGTTCTTCAATCAGCTCGGCTAACCTGTAGATTCTCCTCTCTCTGAGAGATCTCTCAGGAGTCGGAGGAAAACGAGAGCTGCTCTTGAGGAGAGGATAATACAGGGTTACAGAGCTGCTTGGAAACGTATTCACCAATGTGATTGCAACTTAATATCACGATCGACAGTTCTGTTCCACTCTCAGAAAACATTGCTGCCTTCAGTAAGCAATGTAGGAGAAGATAAAAAAAAAAATTGTAGGAAAGGGATCTTCATCTGCATTTGTACAAGGGCCAGCTTCTTTCAGTCACTGTTTCACACTTTAAAATGTCCTTGCACATAACTGCCTGACGCCCAGCCACCACCATCAGACTGTATCGTCCCACAACCACCGCCGTCCTCATTCATGCACGGCCTGCTCCGACCTCCACCTCAGCGGCAAGGAAGTGTGGACGACAGGAACGCGAGGAATACAAAGAAGAAATCCTTTCTGCATATTATCCCATATGCTGTCTTGTAAAGCGTCTCAAGATAACACTTTGATTGATATAAGGCTGACAGCTGTGAAGCCCAATGTCAATGAGTTGATGTCAGAGGGGAAATGTGATTTATCACATTAACCTAATGTGAGTTTTTACGCCTAATGATTTTAGTTTTATCTTTATTGCTTAATCACAAGTCTGGGCTCCAGAACGTTATATTTGATGTGCAGAGCAACATTTGATTTCTGGCTAAATTAAAGTTAAATAAAGACACTTGTACTCCTGTTAATATAAGTCAATGACAGCCAACAGGTGGATTTATGTTAAACAGATCAAACATTAAGTCATTCCTGACAAAAAACAATTTTTTTATACCCAATTGTGTTGAGTTGCTATAATGGCTATATGGATTTCAAAAAGATACCCTAAAACTACAACATTTTTTTTCCTCCTCACATTATCTGACACAAAAATGGATGGGAAGCTTTGGGGACACCGGATGTGTCCCTTTGGCCGCCCATTGATGATCACTGCTGCAGCCCGTACAATATAATTCATCTGATTTTAATGAAGGCCAAGAAAGTTCAATACCCTGATTAGCTGAGGTGACGCAGAGTATATACAGCATGAACCTCCCACCTGCAGTTGAGCTAACTATTCATAAATTTAAGCCTTAATAAAATACTGAATAAAATTCAGAGAATCTGCAATAAAAAACTAAATACTTTTTTTTCCTGAGAGCCCCAAAACATGTTAATTTCTGCTGTAATGTTGGGATTTCTTTTTCCAATATGGGGCCTAATGGGGATTGACTCACTTTGGGAGGGAGCCTCGGGTGGACACTCAGGGAAATGGAGTTTCTGGCACTGAGGCATTGGCTTAATTTCTTCGCACTAGAGCTTGCTTGATTTCAACCTTTAGAGTTATTCTAGCAATCGCACCCCCACACATCTCTGGAAGCTTTCTCTATGTTCATTGTTAGTACGTATTTTCATGGATTCATTCATATTGATAATTTTGTGGACATATCTTTAAATTGTGTCAACCATCTCACAGTAATTCTACTTTTGGGTCTGTGAAGCTGTAACCTTATATGGTGAAACATGTAAATTGTAGCAGATCTATGTTTGGATAGGAGCCAACCATATGTTGTCAACAACTGTTTGCTAGACAAAGAGTCTACATCGGTTACGTATACAAATCAGTGTCATGTCATCTTTATTGTTTTATAGTGATGTACCCAAATAGAAAGGAATTTGTGGGCTGTACCTTCTAGCAGAATATAAGCCACACTGTGTGATGAAGACTTGGCCATTTTGCCATTTTGCCATTTTGCCCATGATGGCCACTTTGCCAATGATTGTCAATGATTGTGAGATCTGGGTCAGCGATGGTCTGCACTTTGTCAGCCATGTGTGTTGTGTTTCTGTGTTGTCTGACCATGGCTGAATAAATCCACAGTCTGTTTCACGATTTCATAATTGTCTATCTACTACAGAAATAACCCCCACCTAACATTCCTGTATGAGAACATTTTTATTCTCAATATGTTTTTTTTTATTTTTTATTTTTTACTTTAACCACAATTGAAGCTGTGGCTTTCATCCAGCCCTGAGTGCACCTGTATTCCTAGTTGTGCCTGCCTCCAGTGTGTGTTTGCATGTGTTTGTATTCTTTCAGGCGTGTGTGTTTTTGCGCTACAGTGTGTGTTTGTGTGTATATAATGAGAATCATAGACCCCAGCACCTGACGCAGGGCCAGTGAGAACTAGCTGCCATCTGGTCAGCCCTGAGGGAGTCCGCCGGCCACCCAGAGCTGTTGGGCCCTAACAGGTAGTCCGTCTGACATCTCTAACTCATCTCCAACCCTGCAAATGGCTAATAATGAGGGGTGGACAGCTGGCCGCTGGACCCAGTGTGCTGGACCCCCCCCCCACCTCTTCACCAACATCAGGGAAAATGTCAGCTCTGAGATTTTCAGCAGCATTAGCAGTTCTGTGTGAGTGGAGAGTTTCATCTGGACACACTGCTGGCTGTGTTTGTGTGCATAGTTGTCCTTCAAAGGAATGGGTACTCATACATCATGTAGTTTAGCTTTTACGTGCAGCAGCTCTATAATGGCGCTTTTTTTTTTTTTTTAACTAATCCCCAACTCTGTATTGGAAGCTGGGAGAACACACAATCTTTACTCTTTACTCTTTACTAAGTAGAAGAAGTGTAGGCAAAGTCCTGATTCAACTTGTTACTAAAGTAAAATTTAAAACATAAAGGCTAAGAAATGTTCACGGTACTAGCCAGTTAGCCTGTCTCTAAACTGTTTGATACAATGGCTGTGGCTAAAAGACAGAATAAGATGGTGACGGATGAAGAAGAGAAAAAGAGAGAGTGACAGAGCAAGATGCAAAGCGTACGTCCCTGCAGATATTATTCATAAGAGACTGCATCGTAATGTTAGGCTGTGTAGTATCGGTGTCATCGTTGTCTCATGTTTAGCAGCTTTACCCGGTGCCGAAAATAATCTAACCGAAGTTATGTCTCATGTTTAGCAGTTAAACTCAGAGACCTTTGGTCAGGGACAATGCACACGCAACAGAAATCCTAGGGTGTGATAAAACTGACAGCCTTTCCTGCACGGCAACAGCCATCGATGGGACTCCAAAGGCCCCCGCAGTAACAGACTATGTTACATATATGTCTCTCTTATGACATTGTTGTCATATAACATCCATCATGCCTGATATATACACTGATGGATACTCCAAAAAAAATCATCTTTTGTCTGTGTTATTATACCGTCCATTAAGGTTAAAATCAATAAAAAATAAAGATTATTTCACTCAAAAGCATTAAAGCTAAAGTAATGAGTTCATTTTCAAAACATTAGGAGTAGAAGGTAAATATTAAAATGTCAGGATGAAATGTGAAAAATATGCCAGATAAATAAATACCTGTACATCACAGATCCCTGAAAACCCTAATTATGTATCTGTGCGTCATCACTCCACCTCTGTATCAAAGCTTTATGTTAAACGATATTGTAGATTTTCATTCTTCTACATAAAGAATAAAGTTAACGTCAAAGTCCATGTGTGCACAATACATGGTTGGTATGCAGTAGCATGATTCAGCCTACAGATGGCAGTATTTCACAGGATACTTTAAGGTCATGCTGCTGTGTAGTGATGAATGAAAAGAAAGGAGAAATGAATTCACTGTAAAATGTATTAATGGTTATATGACGACATTAAAAACTCTGAAACGGGTCTGAGTGTGTCTCTTTATATCAGCCAAGTGAGCTGCGGTTGTTACAACATTTTCTTTTTCATTCTACTAAAACAAATGTTAAATTTACTTCATGTACTTGAGTGAATAAATGTCTCTGATGTACAAATATAATGCATAAACAGAGGATTTGTACACGTTGGAGACAGACACTTTACAAATACATAAAGATGAAAATCAAGTGACAAACAGGTCTATTTTACACACTGACATTATCTCCATCCTGCCTGCTGCTGATAACAGACACACTAGACAGTTGACATAATTACATTCTTCATATACTACAAAAATCCATTTTGGATCTTTATTTAAGAGGAAGGAAGGATAAATACGATTTTCCATGAACCTTTTATTGAAATACGATTTTGAACCTTTTATGAAAGAAAAATAAAATGTATTGCAACGTGCTCAAGTTGAGCCAGAGGATGACGCGTGGGGGGAGGTTGGGTCTATAGCGCGCAGCACACTGTACGTGAGGTGCAAGTGAACTGATGGGTGACTTCATGTAGCATCCGAGAGAAGAGAGAGAGAGAGAGAAGAGAGAGAGAGAGAAGAGAGAGCTAGAGAGAGAGAGAGAGAGAGAGAGAGAGAGAGAGAGAGAGAGAGAGAGGGATAGGGAAGAGAGAGAGAGAGGGAAGAGAGAGAGGTTATGTGACAGCATGTTTCAGAAGAGGATCAACCCCTGAACGAGGTGGGAGGGTCAGTCGGTACCGGCACCCACGGAGAGATGCACACCGCTGCCCAGATGACTTTACCGGCTGCGCGTGGAAGAGATTGACCGTCAGTTTCAGTTTGTTTCGCTGTTTCTCCACATTTGACGAGACTGACTGACTACTGGCTGAAACGCGGGACGATCCACCCTGAAAAATCTCTGCGAAATAACCGGATCTGCTCCACTCATGAATGAGTCTCCTCATATTTCAAGGTGAGTAGTCTCTCCTCTGACCGAGCTGCATGCCTGTAATGTGCAGGAGGGGAAAGTTGGGTAAGACTTTACGCGTCCTGGACGCAGAGGGCTACGTCCAAAGACATTGTGCGCTTTAAATCGGGGTATTGTTTTACGATGCTGCATGTTAAAAAAAATCTAGATTCTATTTCCCCGATGGCCACCTGTAACAGCAAACAGATGTGGGCAGATGCTCTGAAGCCGCATCTTCGTCACAGAGATGAGGCAGAGTGCAGGTTTATGAGGATGCATTTCGCTCCACTGTCGAAAAAGCATGCCCGTTCGTGCAGCTATTTCCCAGAACTCTTTGCACATGTGGTTTATTCAGTGGTCATCAGGAGGATAGCAGACTGAAGCCCGTCCTCCCCTGCTGCCTCCTCGTGCAGCCTTGGCAGCGCTTGCAGAGCAGAAGCCACTGGGACGCTGATAAGCCCGGGCAGCCTGAGCCTGAAACAACCAAAGCACACACAGCTGTAGCAGTGCCAACCCCAACAATGCTGTTGACCAAGTGCATCTTTGTCGGAGCCCCTAGTCTGTGTGTTTGGGTGGTAGTAGAGGGGGCTGTGGTGGTGGTGGTGGTGCTGGTGGTTGGATTCTTTGACTGTTAGCCCTCATGCAAACCAGATGAAGCCCTCTTGCCTCTGTATGCTCTTTCTGGTCCGGCTTATCTAACCGGCCAGTTGGACCAGCTTTTATTCTCCTGGCCCCTCCACAGCGGGTAAAGCCTCTCATGGACACAGAGGGAGAGAGAGAGAGAGAGAGAGAGAGAGAGAGAGAGAGAGAGAGAGAGAGAGAGAGAGAGATTGGCTTCTCTGTCTGGTTGTTCATGCCAGTCATGAGCTCTGCCACTTTATCAGTTGCCTGTTAATTTTAGAATTTAAATGAATATCCACATTGGTTCTGCGTCTCCCCCTTTCACCTGGTTTGAAGGCAATATATTATCCCCAAGTTTGTGTTTGGACAATTTCTGTTGGTATGAGGACTTAATACAAAGTAATTCAGAGGTAAACCAGTTGAAACTCTTAAAAAGACTCTTTTTATTGGGTCAGTTTGGCCAGAAAAACAACGAAAAAGTAGTTTCTTCTTCTGCCTTGTTTTTTTTTTTTTTTGGGTCCAGTTTCATGAATTGTCCAAAGAGTTCAGCTTGTTGGAATTTTACCGGTGGGTCAGTATAATGCAAGTTAGATACTGACTAATCACCTTTGAGTTAAAGATTCGGACCTATAGCACCGATATTTGAACGGTATAAGACATATCTCATTCTTGTTGTTGATGCAGCAGTGAGGACACCGTTGGGTGAATTTGTTTGCTCAAGGGGACAATCCTGATGCCCTTGTTGACTCTGTATGAACAGTATCTACTGTCATATCTTTTATTATTTCGTACATTATTGTTGTTGTCAGTATTGATTTTCTCCAGAAGGCAAACAGTTTCTTCTGGAGTGAGCAGAGCTGCAGAGCAGTTTGAAGCATTTGAATCTTCAGCTGTGTTTTCAGCTTTTCCTACCCAGAATTCATTGCCGATCAGTACTAATTAAGGATGATCTAGATCCATCTGTGTGCTATGGAAATATTCAGTGATCTTCCTGAAGTTTGAATATCCGTCAGATCTAGGCTTCAGTCCAAGTCCTTCTGCATGTAACATTGTATTACATACTGTAGCTTTAAGACACCTTTCTCTGATAGCTGTGTTTCCATGACGTCACAAAAACATGCTGGAAACACAAATTGGGTTTGGATGAAATTTAAAATCTACAAGTCTTTTTGGTAACAGTGTTCCTCTAATTCAGGATTATACACGGCCTTTACTCTGATCAGTTTTAAATTATAAAGAAATCCTTTTGTTTTTCCGAGTAAACTGAAGTCTGTGGATTGTCCAGTGTCTCCTAAACACGACTCCCTGGAAAAATTAATCTTTTGGGGATTTACATTTTTCATTTTTCAAAGCTTTGAGACAGACAAACACATTTACACAGTGTGCATTTTAGGCAGAGACTTAAGTTACAGAATCAGATATTTATTATTGGCTTAACACAATGAAAACATTTTTTTTTTCATTGTAGTACTTTGGTTAAACTCGTTTTTGAGATATAGACATTGTAGAATTAGACTTCAAAGGACACGTCCAACAAAGTGAAGCAGACAAAAAAAAAAGGTTTCTTTTGGATTTTTGCATTCTTGAGGATTTTTCGTCCCTTTTTTTTAAAACAGTTCTTTCAGTGGTACTTTTGGCTGCAGAGGGATTGCATGTGAAACTACATTATTTTGGAGTCTTTTAACCCCGCAGACAACACCGGACCAGTGTAGGTGAAGTAATTTGGAACATCTGTCTCTGTCGATTCACCCACAAGCCAGGAGTCAAGTATTATCTCCCACTTTACAGAGATTAATGAGTGAGAATGCAGGTTTGAGACGACAGAAAAAAAGGATGAAATAAGGAACACAAGTCTGTTACTGCTCTTTGATTTAAATGTCCACCAGTTCATTGTATGACATTGATTCTGGGTAAATTTGAATATCAGGGAGCACGATGGATGTGGGTCAGGGGCAAAGGCGACGCCGAGTTGCTGCAGTAGTACATCAGGCGAATTAGTGTATGTAACACAATTACACGGTGTGTGAGTGCACAGCAGACTCGCCCCTACTACACATAGATGAAGACCCCCCACCTCAAAACCCTTCCCCCCTCCCCCCCTACCGCTTTCCCGGTTGCCCACGGAGACACTGATTAAACACGACTGTTCAGATGCTACACCCCGAGGAGGAAGAGGAGGAAGACGGAGGACAGCACCCTATGTGTGTTTTGTATGTGTGCTAGTGTTTGCATGTACTGTATGTGTGTGCATCCATTCATAAGTGCTTGTTATTTATGTATTGACCCGTGTGGCTCTGCATAGGAGTGTGTGCATTAAGGAAGGGGGGAGAGAAAGTGTAAAAAAAAAAAAAAAAAAAGAAGAGAAAAGAGAAAACATTGACGTGAACACGACTAGGAAAGAAGAAATGGAGATAAAACAAAATTCTGCAGATCATCAAGCACAACTGATAGGCTGTTTTTCCCACTCTTTAATCCCCTCTTTCAATCTTCACACGTCCCTGTGTGGTCCAGCCCTTAGGGGGGAGGTGGATGTACAGGTAGATAAAGGTGGAAAATACTGTTAGAGCGGAGATTAAAAGGAAGAAAGAGGATAGGAAGCAAGAGAGGCTAATAAAGACAGAGAGAGAGAGAGAGAGAGAGAGAGAGAAAGAGAGAGAGAGAGAGAGAGAGAGAGACAGCAAAGGAGACGAGTAAAAAAGGAGGAGGAGGCACAAGTGGAAATCGTGCAGCTCACCTGCCAGATGGCTGCTTTGGCAGCCCCTCAGCATGCAGTGATGGCGGTCTTGCAATATGGCGCATCGCCTCCAGATTGTCACACCGTTGTTGATTCAAACAGTGCGATAACTTTGCTGATGTGTGTGTTTTGCGTGGTTCTCTCTGGCACCAGTGTGAACAGATGGCATATGGTCAATTTAAAGAAACACCAACAAAGTTAAAGGAGTAGTGTGTGTTTCCTTTCCCACAGAGGGAAGTGTTGACTCATAACAAATAAGTTTGAATAGTTCATAGGGTCGTTTCTCTTTAAAGGACACTCATCGCATAAATGCATCACTGAAGGTTCTTTAACTTTAAGAAGAAAAAAAAACATTTGGTTACACTTCACTTTAAATAGAAAATCTTCAAAACAAGGTCAGGGTTTTTTTTTCTGGTTAGAAAGACTTTGATGTTTACCTGTGGCACATTCAAACAGAATAATCAAATAAGAGTTGTATATTTTTTGAATTCACTTATATTCCCGTCAGATATGTTGTCAGGGCTCTACACAACATGTGCTGTCTTGTGTAACTAATAACGGGCAACCACGTCACAACTGTTGAACTCCTTGTAAGATAGAAAAATGCTCTCAGCATCCGTCCAGATTTCATGTTTTTGTCATTGATTTCTGCCCTTTGAACTTCCTGAATTGGCATCCAAACTACTTAATAATTAAATGTATAATTGCCAGAGCGACCTTTATCGTTGTTGACCAGGAAAAGGGCAGGGAGAAAAAAAAACTAAAGACAGGAACACACATACACAAAACGCCAAGAACGCCATTTCTTTCACCCTGACTGTTCATTAATTTGCTCTTGCCAGCCCCATTGTAACATTTTCTTGTGAAGTTTGGCTGAGCCACTATGTGAAGACAGTAGGTACTATTCTGGAAAATTCACTGTGAGTGAACAGGCAGCAAGGGTGATGACGTTTATATGTTGATTTTGTGTTAAATCTGCTTCTTACTCTTTACTGCATGCCAGGATGTTGTTTTACCTCCCCATTCTCTGATAGTGGGAATACGTCCAGTTATGTGTAGCACTGAAATAAAGTCAAAAACTTTAATCTTATCACTGGAAGCTGTTGATTTATCTGCCGTTACTGCGTCGTCCTTTGAGCTTGTGAAAAGGCTTGAGCAGTGAACAATAGTCTAAAAACAGGAACTGTACTGTACATGTACATTTACACTGACACTGAAACATTGACACTTACACTACAAAGATAAAATACACTTTACAAGTTTAAAATATAATGACATTTAAAATGATACAGGGACATAAATTAAGGTGTTGATGCATCCAACTTTAAAATCTTTCAAAAAATTCTGACCTCAAATAACCGGTGGATGTTCACACGGGACTCAGAGTCTTTCAAGAAGTCTATTTTTGGCGAAAAATCTGTTAATTGGGGAATAGGTATTTTGTAGTGTGATTTTCACTTTGCAAATAAGGGACAGGGACTTAGATCAAGGGCGGCCTCTCCAATTATGACAAATTACCAGACGTCCCCTGGTAATACTAGTGCAGTCTAAATAGGACTGTAGGGAATAAAATTCAGGATACTTTGGCAGCATCTTCATCACTCTCATCACATCTCTTTTTGATTAATTTAGTCTCTTGCAAGTGCAGAAA